AAACTTATATTAAATGGGGGATTCATAGAATTCATTGAAGAAGGAGCATTTGAAGATTTAGGCAGTTTAGTAACTTTGGATATGTCTTATCAACAAATTAGTAGTCTATCCAATCAGACATTCTTTGGCTTGAAGAATGTGAAAAATATTTATTTGCAGCACAATAAAATATCATTCTTGAATGATTTTCATCCATTCTTGCATACGCCTAATTTAGAAACTCTTGACCTGCATTCAAACAAAATTGTTAATATACCTAGTCATATATTCATGAATTTGAATTCCATTAATACCATCCATCTAAAAAATAATTTTATTCAACCTTGGGATGAAGAACTTTTACCGAAAACTTCAAATTTTACTACTTTTATAGTAGCCAAAAACAAGATTACTCACTTTACAAGCCAAATGTTCAGTGACGTCAAGCAGTTGGAGTTCTTTGACTTTTCCGAAAATCCTATAAATTGCTCTTCTTGTTCTACCACAGAATTACAAACTTGGATGAATCAAACAAATATCTCAATCTCGCAACTATCTATTGCAGATAAATATACGTGCAAAGAGCCTTCCTCTTTGAAGGGAGTTTATATACTTTATGCCGATTTATCTTCTGTTTTAACACATTGTCTTCCAGTAGAATATGATATTGCAAAAGTTCTGTACTGTACGTTTGTGCCATTGTTCGTGTTAGGTTTTATCGCTGCTTTTGTTTGGTATCAATGGAAATGGAACATCAGATATGTAATTTTTCTTGCTCGTTCCAGAGCGAAGAAATGCAAAGCTAAAAAAACAGCAGATCGTTATGCTTTCGATGCCTTTATTTCGTACTGTGAAAAAGATTTACCTTGGATTAGGAAAGAGTTGGTTCCGAATATTGAAGACGGAGAACCAGAGATTCGTTTATGTTTGTCTGACAGGAATTCGATGCAGCACATCCACGATGGACAATGTTGCGGCAGATATGAACAGAGTGACGACAGTTCTGTTTGAGTAACGAGTACTGGATCAAGTTGGTGCCGGTTTGACATGGAAATGGCTCAACATCAGTTATTTGAAGACACGAGAAGTGGCTGATTTTTTCTTCTGAAGCAATCCACAAATCTAAAATGACGAAAAATTTCAATACGTCATCGACAAGAACGTGCATTGCGTGGACTAACAACCTACGACAAAGTTTTTTGGAACGTCTACGAGCAGCAAAATGAAACCTGAAGACAAAGGTATATTGACTCATATTACGTGATTTATACAAAGAAACAGGACGAGTAAATATTTGTTATTTACTTTATATAAACAGGTAGATGTGGGTGGAACCCAAGAAGTTCACCATTAGTCGTACAGGTGTTGTACCGCCGCACTAACCCTTATATAAGTATAATTATCTATTGCAGATAAATATGTATGCAAGGAGCTTTCCTATTTGAAGGTAGTTTATATACTTGACGCTAATTTATCTTCTGTTTTAACACATTGTGTTCCAGTAGAAAGTGATAAGCAAAAGCTTTGTGCTGAACGTTTGTGCCATTGTTCGTGTTGGGCCTTTATCGGTGTATTTGTTTGGTACCAATGGAAACTGAACATCAGATATTTTTTTTTTGGCTTGTTCAAGAGAGATACAAAGCTCAGGTGATAGCAGATCGTTATGCTTTCCATGCTTTTATTTTGTAATGCGAAAAGGACCATTCTTGGGTTAGGAAAGAACTGGTTCTCAATATTGAAAGATGTGAACAAGGGGTTCGTTTATGCTTGACTGACAGAAACTTCGATGCAGCACATTCCGTGATGGATAATGTTGCTGTAGCAATTGAAAATAGTGGAGCAAAGTTCTGGTTTTGAGTAACGAATACACGGATTCAAATTGGTGCCGATATGACATGGAAATCCCGCAGCACAAATTATATGAAGATACGTGAATTGCATTGATTTCGATACTTCTCGAAAGGATTCACAAATCTAAAATGACGAAACATTTACAGTACGTCATTTGTACAAACACATGCATCGCATGGACTAACAACATTACGTGGCAGAAGCTGTTCTGGTAACGATTACGAGAAGCAATAATGAAACCTGTAAAAAGGCAAATATTGACTCATTTCACATATGATTGTTTTGATAGATTTCAGGAAATTGGTTTGTTTGCTTATTTACATATGCCAGGTAAACAACGGCTAACTGCCTGAAAGGTGAAATACTTTCTTCAAGAATTTTCTAAGGAAAACTGGTATGCATGTATATAACGCAGGGAAAACCATGAAACTTCAATAAGGCAATTTCAATTTCTCCGGTTTGCTAACCAAGATCGATTTGCCAATACTCAGATAATTTTTTCACTCGGCCTCTTGTGGATGATGGTGAATACAGAAAGATGTCTTTTAATTTACCTTAAATACAGTATTTAAAGAACTTTAAATTTTTAAACACGTACGGCCCATAGGATGATTATTGCTGACAATTCTTACTTTTTTTATGGATCAGCATCCACGTCATATGGCTTTAGCATGAGCACAATGCTGTTATTAACTTGCTATAATATTAAATGTGTCTTTTTTTCCCAGTTTTTTATCATCCAAGAAGAGCTGGCTGTGTTAGATTTCGAGAATTTGATAAATATCTCGCGAATAAATTTTAATGTGACGTATCCTTTTTCACAGCATATAAGTTGGCTGTAACTGCTGCAGAATATTTAGAAAAAGACCGCCTTCTGTTGGAAACGAAGATTATATATTGATTTAGTTCGAAGATTTCAAGCAATGGGAAGAAAGAAACAATTTCCGTTGATAAGTATAATCACAGTAAAAATTCATAAATGAATACAAATGTACTAGAAATCCTACGCTATTTTATTAATGATCTGTGTAAATTGCTCACAAATTTAGAAAATTAGTTATTTGCACAGTTATACCTGACGAGTTTTCATTCTCAAAGTATAACTTACACTAGTTTATTTACATAATTATTAGAAATTTACCAGAATATGATATTATTATTAAAATTCTAATGTAATCTCTCTAATGGAAAATCTGTATGAATATATGCATGTATATATGTATGAAAAACCGGCGGCACTTAGAAGCACCAAATTTTGGACACCTGTAGTCCTTCATCCAAATATGTGTACCTGGAAGTCCTAATTTCGAATTTTTGTTTTAAATTTTATTTTATGTTTAATGAAATCTTAATGAAAGCTTGATTAACAACTCAGTGATTTTAAATCAATGTATTACTACTCGACAAAGCGTAGGATATTTATGTTTCAAACTTGATCAGAAAACTGAGCGGTTTTGTAGATATATGTTGCTACTCGGCAAGGATATTGGCTCATCAAATTTAATCAATGAACTCAGTGATTTAAAAGAAGTACGTTGTTACTGTCCCAAATAAAATATTTCTTTTGGACACGCGAGTGTGTTATCATTCAGTAAGCGTAAAATATTTAATTTTGCTTTAAAAATTAACCCGTCTGTTACTGATTAATAAACTAAATGATTTAAAAGCAATAAACGTAGTTCTTCATCTCTACTATTATTAATTACGAGCTGGGCCTGTGAAATGACACTAGCTGGACTGATTAAAATCATTGCATATTTTTTCTTTTTTATAATAATTATTTTAGGCTGCTGGTCGCTCAAACGGCTAGTATTATTAGAAAATGTAATTTTTTTTATAAGTACTAAAAGTTTCGATTATTTACCAGTTCAAATGTAATCTTGCCACCAAGATCTCGCGACTGTTTTTGTACGCTTACCTTTTGCCTTTCCTAACTTTATTAAGGAGCATGTTTCTCCAAATATGCACAAAGTTAATCTCTGAATTACGCACAATTCTGCACAGGCGAACATCAGCTAATGGTTACCTAGCAAAGAAACACCTTTTAAGTTGCCTTTTAAGGTAAAAGTGAACGTAGTTTCGACGGTTAATCTATAGAAAGATTGATTCATTTGTTTCCTTTGAAATAATTCTGTAGAGTCATTAGGGTTTTTTTTTTTTTTTTTTAAAGCAGTTGAAATGTGCAGTGCCCTCGCCGGGATTCGACCACTGAATTTCCTGATGGCCATCTCTACATGCTTTCCAGTTACATCATGCAAGCACACGGTAAGGAGAGATACCTTATAACTTAATTGAATTTAAGTACCGAATGTGCGGCCGACCATAATCTCGAAGTGCTACGATACTTTGAGAGAGCGTATCGCGCGTTTAGTTTTGGAAAGCGTTTTTTAAAGTCTCATAGCACATTTCTGTATTTATGGCTCTATGCTTTCGTGTCAAGGCAACCAGCTTCTGCAGTCTGGTGATTTTTTAGAGATGAAAAGGTAAAAGTTCCTTATCGATTGCAAATTCATGGTTTTCGTGATTTCTTTTAAAAAGATTCTCAAGTTTGTATGTCCGAACGATATCAACATATAAACTAGTAAATCCCAATATTATCAACATATTAAAAATAGCAATGTAAACTACATGTTTTAATTATTAAATAAGCAATATGTGATACATTAAAAAATAAAACACATAAATTCTTTTCCAAATCTTTTTGTATTTTTTTTTTCCGTTTTTCTTTTTCCCGAATGTACAGCGACCTATTTTCGCTTTAAAAATAATCAAAGAACTGAAGAAATTAGATTAGGTATCGCGCAAACCTCGACAATTTTTGGTTTGGTTTATTATGGCAAAGCACACTAGGGCTATCTGCTTAACGGGAGGGTTGCCTTCGTTGAGGACTTCCCAAGGGAATTTGCCTCGTTATATATTATGTCTGGGGGAAAACTACGAAAACGCCTATGCAGCCAGCCCGATCGCCTGGAATCGAAACGAGGTCGGACTGTCAGTGTTCAGCGTTTTTACCGCTCGACCGCTGGTGGGCCAAAAATCCTCGGCAACACCAGTTATCTACCAAACGCATCTCCTCATAGTTACCTTTAGATATTTAGTTGCAGAATTCTGTATTCCTACAGATATTTTACCGCAGTTAATTCCATTGCTGGCAAATTCCAAAAGCGTATATGTTAAAATCAAATTTCAGGCAAAAAATATCATGATTTGCTTATAGAAACCGTTGGAACTTGCGATATTAAAAAATAACGCATGCAAAAATAGCTACATTGCTTGATTAGAGCGTGTCTGCTATATGCACGGTTTGTTATGAGCATGGTTGTCTGAAGAATGATTATGCGCATGGTTTGCCAGAATTTGGCGCAACCAGAAAATTTAGCTATTCCTTCCAAGGTATGCGAAAGCACGTGAAGTACCTATGGCTGTTGCCTTTAAAAAGACGGTTAATCTTTGGATTATGGTAACTTTGTGATTTTTTGGAGAAAATTTAGCTACTGCAACCTGCTAGTTTTTGTTTGGACGCCATTTTGTTTTCACGAAGTAAAGGCATTTTTTTTTTCTACTCAACATTTTTTTTCTAACAATATGCTAGCCGAATTACGCTTGCTAGAACTTTATGGAAAAAATGCTTATCATGACGAAGATAGGGCGAAATGGGAGAAAATGCAGAATCACAAACGGTGCCCGTTTTTAAGAATTGCACATACACGGAATGTAAAGTAGACCTACTTTCACTAAAAAAACATCCAGATTGCACAAAAAGGGCGTTGCGCACACCTTGAGTGAAACTGCGAAAGTCCTAGCTAGTAACCTTTATCGCCTTACCAAAATGTCGCCAAACTACCTGTTACCATATTCCAAAGATTAGCCAAAAAGACTTCCTATGACCAAAATTCAATATTAGTTCCAAAATGTCGTGAGCATCATATCATGATCTTTTGATGGAAAACGCTTGCTTAATTTTCGATATTTTTTAGAATTCTCCTTCATATTTATAGCTACATAGGAAGTCCGTATTTTTGTCAGCTGTAACGGTATAAATCAAGAACTGAAATTTCTGGTGACTTTGAAATTTCTGGTGACTCTATACGTTTTTAGCCTTTAAAGAACAAGGAATTTAACAATGGTTCAGCTTTGAATATTCGATCATTTCCAACAGT